GGTTTACAATCAGAACTGCGTTCTGTTTGTAAGGTTTCCTTGCGCAACGGAATTTCGTTTGGAGAGACACTTTCTGGATGTGTCCTCTCTTCCCACAAAATTCGCATATCAAATGAAGATACTGAAAGTCAGCCGGTGTGTTGAATGCTGTTCACCACAGAGATAACAACGGAACTCTGCATTGTATGGAGTGAGATAATGTGTTACCAGGTTTAGTCAGAGAGACTTTATGCACATCTTGCGAAATTGTTAGATTAGGCGAGGAGAATCCCGTTAGTTCCAGAACGAGACCAGCATGTTGTCGAAGTAAGTCACAGGCTATTTCCCAAGTCAAGGTCTTTTCATCTTTCGGTAACAGGCGCGAAAGCGCCTGTTAATGCGTATAAAAGCATTGCTTCTTCAAAGTAGGCTAACTTGATCTGGTTATGGGCACAGTCAGGAAGAGCAGTTAGGAATCGGGAAATAAACTAATTTAGAGTTTCGTTCTGCTGCTGCCGCATGGTGTTGAATTTGTAACGTGATGTAAATACATGTGGCTTTTCACCCCACAGGCGATAAATAGAGGGAAAAACAGCTTGTATTGTATCGTAAGCAGTTGCAGGTAATCGAAATGTCGCTGCCCCTAGCTGCCTAAGAGGTGACGCAGTAATTTGATTTTTGATGCATCATCCATCGTACCGCTATCACCAAAGAGAACAGGAGGATCCAAGTAATTAGTGAAGGCAGTTTTCCACTGCAGCAATTCTTGTGTAGTCGACCTTTCCGTGGAAGAATTCCAAGACGGCTGAGGTGAGGTAATTGAATTTGCCGTTAGTGGTCGCAACAATCTCCGTCACCAATTTGCTACGCCAAGACGAAATCAGAAGACACAGCTGCGTAAAAAGGTGCTTATTCACGCAAATTGCAAATACCACTGTACACTAAAAAGGAAGTGCAAGGCGCTCGAAGTCACATGAACACAGAATCAAATTAGCAATCAATGGTTACGGCAGAAGGCCAATAGCCGTAGTACACACACGAAGGCAAGCACACAGTGAGCGTCTGGCGAGGCGTATCGAATGCCCAGTCCAGCTTGACCAGAGGCTGCCCCATCAGTGTCTCCGGAGGCGTGCAACCAATAGCGAGAGGATAAATCGGGTGCAGTTAACAACTCTGTGAGGGTCACTGTTTCTAGTTTCGTATACACAACACATGTCAATACCCAGTGTATCCAACATGCGTGCGAATGCAGCCTGGTGACTGATTTGTCTTAGAGTGTACATGTTGAACGCCGTCAATGAAACGAGACAGCGTGGTATTCTAAGGGACTGTTTTCCATAGGCGTCCAGCGGGTGTTGCGGGAAGGTGGCTGCAGATGGTTAAAATTCGGTGCTATTACGACTGCTGTCAATAAGCTGGGAACTACAGGAGGTAGGTTAGTAATGGGGATTGGGAGGGTAGTAAGAGAAACAGGTGGAAAATAAAGAAGTGAGGCGCCAGCAGGAGTGGGTTTTCGCTTATCCGCCCTGCTGTACGCAGCAGATAAGGTCACCCCTGTTAAGCTTCGCGACGGCCAATGCAGTTAAGGTTTGGAGAAATTGTCATGGTTGTATGTGCGCTGGAATACTGTCAGGGAGCCCACACCTAGACAGGAGGGCGATTAGGGTCCTCGAACAAAGCCTTTGGCTCAAAAGCCTGTCCGCAAGGCAGCGGGGAGGTGACAATGATTTGGTTTTACAGAATTGTACGCCATCCCATTTCGAACCCCCAACCTGGAGGACCAGCAGACCATGTTTGTTATACCTCTACCTACAGCATATAGTGTAACAAACAGCAGGATAAGGAAAAAACAGCAACGGCAAATTTGAAGGCCCCGATATGTGACAACGATGATGCGACAAAAGGGATCCGGTGCCGAAGTCATGACGGTTATCAATGGTAGACAGTCGGTGTACAGAGATCCATCAGCCTCTGGATCATGCCTACTGCGCTCCGTGCGAACGCAAAGTAGAGGCGGAAACGTTGCTTATCGGTAATAGTAGTGTACCCAACGGCATCTGGGACCTTATTCATAGTGAAGCTGGTTGCTTCGACACCGTCCTAGAATGATATCTGACTCAGAAGGCAGTTGAATTGTTCGCTGAGCTTGACAATTTGGTTGCAAATGTTTCGTCACCAATCGAGGTGACATCATCAGTGCGTAATTGAGTGGCGTGCAGTAGCGTAGATTAGCGTAGAGGAGATTCGGTGTGAGGCCGCTGAGCGTGGGGTGCGTGCGTTTTTATACCGTAGTGGTTGCCCGTGGAGGAGAGCAATCCTATTGGTTGGGATTTCGATCCGCCTTCAGCCGTGGTTGATGATCAGATGACCTTTGAGTTTGACTCCTTGTGTTTCGGGGGATTTGTCTGCTTGCGCTTGTGAGCGAGTCTGTCGTCAGTTCTGGTTGGTTGGCCACAGGTTCCACCGGATTCAATCGATTGAGTTGGCAGTCTTTTGCCAGTAGTGTTGCGTATACTGCGTCCAGTTCGATGTGTAGATTGATTGAATTCGTTGTAGAGTACCAGGTTTCCAAAAACTCCATGTGCTATGATCTTTACATTCGCCAGATCGAAATGGTGGCCTTCTTGATCTGCGTGCGCAGAAATCAATGAGTGCGGATCATGTCTTTTGATGGCCGCCTTGTATTCGGTGATTCGTGTACAAATCTTCCTTCCAGTTTGGCCGACGTAGTTTTTATCGCAGTCTCTGCATTTTAGCTGATAGATGACATCGCATTGGTCGGCTTGATTGACTTTTTCTCTGGGTCTTGAGATCAATTTGCTTAGGGTGGCACTTGGTTTGTGAGCCACAAACATCCATGTGACTGAATCAATCATCCTGTTAGTTCGGAGATGTTCTTGATGTAGGGGAGCACTATTCATTTGTTTGCTTGCTCAGGTGACTGCTGCTGCTGCTTTTGACGAGACGTTCGTTTCTTTAGGCTTCTTCTGATGAAATTTCTCGGGTAACCGTTGTTTCTAAACACTTGATATAGGTGTTTTTCTTCCTGTTTCCGCAATTCGGCTGTGCTGCAGTCTCCGCTCTTGTGAGTAGGGTTTGAATGCAGCTCATCTTGTGATTCATTGGATGGTTGTTGTGGTAGTTTAATTTCTGGTCCGTATACGTTTTCTTCCGATATATGCAAGTTTGCAGAGATCCGTCGGGATTATTAGTGACCAGTACCTCCAAAAATGGCAACTTGTTATCTTTCTCTAATTCAATCGTAAAATTGATATCCAAAAATGTGTTGTCGAGCAACTCGTGCGTGGCTTGTACGCTGTTCCGTTTTACAAGGACAAATGTGTCGTCCACGTATCGTATCCAGAGTTTTGGGCTGATAGATGGCAGTGCCATGGGCTCCAACTCCTGCATTACGGCTCCTGCAATGAGCTCCGAAATTGGGGATTCCATGGGAGTTCCTCTAAGTTGCTGGTATACTTGTCTATCAAAGCGGAAATAATTGGTCATGCAGAGGTTCAGGAGTTCCCAAAAACTTTCGGGTCGTATGGTTGTCGATGGGCTTAGTTGATATCTGACTAAACCTATCTTGCTTCCGGGCCAAACACCACACATTCTAGACCTCGTCCTCATCCGGGCCCCATCTGGAATTTCCGATCTAACGAGCTTGCAACCGCTTGTACAGTACTACTGTACAGTTCCCTTCTGTGGACACGGCGCCTCACAATACACGATCAGAAGACACTCCGTCGCAATTTCTGGGCGCTAACCAGTACAGCTTAAGAACGGCTGCAAGCACCCTGGATTTCAGTATCCCGCAGGCCTCGGATCTTGATGACTCACGGGAACATCTATGACCTAATATGATGCTGCTCATTAAACGGTTCGTTCCATACTGCAGAAGCCAACCTCCATCCAAAGGACTTAAGCGAATCGCAGCATGGTCATGGTTTAGCGTTGCATCATAACCGAAGATAATGAACAGTGTCCGAGGACGGAGTGCTCTCTTAATGTTTCAAAAGCTGTTAAGCACCAACTCAATTGGCAATTCTCATCTAGTATGGAAAAGAATACGAATATTGTGATACGGGCTTAAGCAGACCAGTTAAAGGGGAAATTCAGTGGTGGTATTGTTGGCGGTGATGAGATGGGTGCCGTAACAGTTCTTCGGTCAATTAGGATCAACGCACTCAAGTGCGGCGGATCCGGTTGCCAACCTTGACTTATGGCCTACATATGGTGACATCCGTTAAAAAGGATTCCAAAGATGACAGCAAAAGGGTAACACAAAGAGAGGTAACCGCAGTAGGACTAAGACAATGGGGTGGAAGTGTGGAGGGAGCAAAGCAAGGGACTGGACAGCAGAGTGTACTGAAGTGGAATGAGAAAGAGTAAAGATGAGGGGGATTCAGTGGAGTTGGTACTCAGCGAAGATGGCCCATTTGGAAGACATACAAAGCACATCTTTATGCAGACGAGAGTTAAGGAATAAAGTTGAACATGTGACGATGGTTCCACATAGGACGATTTTAAAGATTCAGTGGAGACAAAGCTGGCGGAGGATTTGTAGAAAAGCACATCTTTTACATTGTTTTGATTGCTTCTGGCCAAAACATGTTGAGAGGATGCACGATGAGCATATAAAGCATCCGGATGCACAATCTTTCGAGTAGATGTGTGTCTGCAAAGTAAACATTATAATCCAAAGGTATGGTTAAGAAAACTAATAGGATATCCAACACACTTATACGCATCAAGATGTGCCGTCAGGAGGCTTTTATGAGACCGTTTGGATGGAACGATGGTCAAAAGTTCGATTGGCGACCAGTTAGGCGGGCTAAACTGAAATACACCCACAAGAGATGAATGGTCCTGTGTGCAGATGTGACATTTCTACATTGACGTGTTTATGCGCGTGTAGACATTCAGTGTTGAATATGAACTAACAGAAGAAGCACATGATAACTGCCCAAGTATAAACTACATGAATTCCTGGGACTAATAATGCAGGAAGATGTACTTACCCCGGAGGAAGTGGTGTGGGTTTCTCCCAAGTGGTGGTCCTGGTCAAATGATCGAGATAGTAGGGTCGACCGTTTGGGGCAAAGCGGCGTTCCCAATCTGGAGGCAAGGAATCGTTTTGCGAAGAGGGGGAAGCACTAGTAGACGGCTCACCGGGATTATTAGAGGCATTATAAGTGGTTGGAGGGCGAGGAGGAGCGCCGGATGAGGGCGAATGGTTGCCACGTAGGGACGATCCGTCCGCACGCACGATGGAAACGTTAGACCGACTGAGGTGGCCATTTAGCTGCCGAGAATTGAAACGAGAAGCGTTAGGAAAAGGATTGGGCCACTACAATTCATAAAAATGATGATGACGTCTAGAGCGGATATCAGAAAAATAAGGATGTAAAAATAACGACGATTTTCGTGGTTAGACCACGAATTCATTGACTAACAGGTTACCGCTTCAGCCAAAACCTTCGCATCTCCATTCAAATGAACAGAAATGAGGAGAAGCTGATGACTAGTGAGACCTAGATTGTATTGACAGCTGAATAACTCAAACCTAGAAGGATACCAGGTATGGTAACTTGCTCCGGGCGCCTAAGACGTAAGCTGAGCAAATAAATGCACCACGTAGGACGAACAGACAAGCCTCTACCCCCAAGCCGGGTGTCGCTGAAGAAGAGTTGTTCGGTATGTGGGCAACTCTAACGCAATAACAACTAACCATTGTCAATGTTGGGAAAAACAGGTCCCTGTGATTTGGAATGAAGGGACTGTCGGTGGACCACTATCGAGGGTTCTGTGGTGTACTGGTTCATGTATCAAACTTGTAGCTTCTGAGCTCGGGGTTCGAGCTCCACTTCAGCCTAAAGTTAGGCGCCATGGCGGCATCCAAGCCCGCATACTGTCGTTTGTAGTTGCATGTCAGTGAAGCAGCAGTAAAAAGCACTGGTGCGTTGCTGATATCTTCACATTGAGATATAAAGGGCCATGCTGTTGAACGTGTGCTTGTACGCTGCGCACCTAAACCAGCTCAAATCCTTGCGCACACTTGGCCAAAAGGTTGGCACTAGCAGTTAGACACTTTTGAAACTTTACTCCAGCTAAACGAAACAGCTACAAGTGGAGCATAACAGGCGGCAACCGCTCAAATGTTTACCGGTGACATACGAGCTCCAATAATAAATGAAATTTGAGCAATTGCGGTAAACAATAGCTATAAGCATGCTCCGATAATGTATTTATAAACTGAGCTCTGAGTAGATGAAGTGACGAAAGTGAAGACTAATGACTGTGTCGCACGCATAAGTCAAGTCAGATAGCCGAACATATTCACTGGACAGGCTACTGTCGAAGTGTTTGGCTAAGAATGAGAAGAGAATCAGGCTGGGGGAGATGGGAATTTTTGGATGAGTGAACGAAGTAGTTGGGAGGAGTCGCAGACGGAGAGAAAGCTAAGCAATTTCATTACGATACAAAAGATAGAAGGTGGTTGACAAAGCGCCACTGAAAAATAGGTTAATAATTAAAAATCAGGTAGATCAAAGGCAGGTTTTACAAGCAGCGATCAACTTCTACACTGATTGTGAGCGAACATGGTTGATTCGAATGAATCTATACCCATCCACAAACTGAAGGACTGTGGACGATCAGAATAAACAAGCTTTGAGTATAGATTGTCACGTTTCAAGTACGACTAGGCAATCTAGAGGGATAACACCTAATGTGCAGTAGCCAAGTAAAGAAACACACTGGGGCTATCACACACTTTGATAAGTAGTCGTGAAGCACAAACACACACAAGTACACTTTTAAAGGATCTAAGTACACTTGAGTTGGCTTACCGTGGTACATGATTGTCGACGATTTCAAGAGAGACCATTATGAGAAATAAAAGAATCGCCAACAGCTCTAAAGATTGCTAGACGTACATTGTAAGCAAATTCAAGTTCTGTGGGAATCTACCAGAGAAACCCCTTGGTGACTGGAGTCTGATTGGACGGACCATTTTCCCACTTAGTTCATGGAAAAGACAAAGATAGCTCGCAGGCAAAAGGCACGTGGTGACCTAAACACACAAGATGGACCCATATTTGACGAAGGACCAGTGCCTCAACGAATACATTGCACAGTGAGAATACGATGACCGTTAAAATGTTTAGCGCGGAGAAAAATGTAGTCCCTTTGCAGTGTGCGAAGCGAATGAACGTCTAGGGAATTTGTGTGGGTTGTGAGTGGATTATGAATATGAGAGAAAATTTAGGAGAGGGGGTGTACTTTTTCCCTTATAAAGTAGGTCCGAGGGATGACTGATAGTAATTAGTTGAACAATGAGATATGGACAATTGTTACTATCGATAAGACGAGAATATGGGTCACCTGTGTCCCTAAACGGTTAGCGTTTAGGGCTTCCTGTAGAGCCCGCGAGTTCGCATTCAACACCACGGTAAGAGAACCGAGCTTATCAAAGCCGGCCTGGTAAGCAACTGAGTCCGTTGGTAAGGGATGGACATCCAGTTCGAATGATCGATGTTCCACTGCAAAGCGAAGAGTGAAAAGAGTAAGTATCCAGTGAGATGGACGGAGAAATAGCGAAAAGGCGGGCTCATAGAAAACTTCAACCCACTGGGTAGTAAAGGTATGAATAATACAATATTCCAGAGCAAGCAGACGGATCGAGAAGGTAAGTTGAAACAGAAGTGAAGAAAGAAGGCATCAGCAATACGCTGGTATACAGTATAGGCGCTTTGCTGCCGCGCAACCACACCGGTCGCATGTGGGCTAAGGATACTACAAGGTCCGCCCTGCCCCTACGCAAGCTCAAACCCGCGCCGTCAAATCACAAGACAAGCTTGTTCTCTTTAGGCCATGGACCGGCTGAAGAGAAATGAGTGCCAAGCGAAAACATTGTGGTTTGGTGTCGAGTGTGCACAAACGTGAAGCAATTATGGGGTTTGTGAGATAAAGGTCCGTTTGAGCGCATGGGGCATCATGCGCGTCATCTACACCACATAGCGCAGACGACACTGCATTGGAGCAGAGGATTTCAGCCGAATTAGAAAGACCCATTTTACTACGACATATGAACTTCTTAACTTGCACAAGACGCATGGAGCACCCTTTAATGGCTCAGGTAACAATACGATGTTCTCGACATAACACATGAGCAACAGTAGGCCATTGCGAGAGCAGAATTTCAGGAACCGCCACGTAGTAGGTAAGTAGATAGGGTAAAGTGTGGTGATATCTCTACGCATTACCGACGACGTTAAAAGAATTTCAGTAGCTTTCTCTACTGGAGTTAGAGCGATGGCTGTCACTGACGAAAGAGTTGAGTGAGCTGAATGCTGATTGTAGCCACCTACAACAAGTCATGGAAAGGGTACCGCAAGCCGTTCGTTTGTCCAAATCGCTTTATTCAAACGACGCACGAAGGCTTGAAGAGTTAATTAACCTGAATGAGGCGAGAAGGGGTTAGGCAGCTGAAGTATCTGCAATGAGTAGAGGTGGCGCTCGACTTGGGTTCGTAAGGTCAATAGGAAGAGTAGATGGATAACAAGGGGCAACGCGATAAGGACGACCAGTGATATGGTGTAAGGTTTCGGTTCACCGAAGCATCTGCCCAAGAAAAGTATCACTGAGTGAAATCGAATATATGAAGGCCTGAAGATTTGGCGTAACAATCCAAAGGAAAAAGTCCACCAACCAGGGCGACTAGCACTGCTGGCCACATAAGTGAATCTCACAAGGCATTGGTGCCCCTGCCCCACATATAGACGAAACCGGACGTAGACTTGCGATGCTGATAAGCGTGAATGCAGTGACATCTTCTTACCGTTGCCGAAAGACGGTAACGATACATTTGTGAAAGATCCGACCATGTTTGACGCCATTTGGCCCAAAGATGAAGCACCCTCCGGATAATGGTTGTCAATCATCACCTCAAACATTAGAAGTGTTACAGAATGCAATGCAGATAACGATGAGCCATCATCGCACCGCTACCGCCATCAAATCGTTAGAAAGAAGCATGCATTGATTCACCCTGGGCTAAAAGAAAGTGGGACCAACGAAGGCCAGAGCAAATCTATCCACAGAAAAAAGTGCATTGGCAACAATGTTTCACCAGATGCTTGAACACAAGTATGAACGCAAATAATAAACTATACTCGGCTTTCGTCACTTGAAAAATGCACTCAATATAGCTGATCGCATCTGTTTGTTAATTTTAAGGAGCGTGCGAGGACGTCCTAAATGAAATCCCTTCAACACGAATCCCGGGAAGTGTGGGTCCTAGTTCACAAACTTTGCGATAGAAATGGATGAAGATGACCATAATTATTTCGGAAAGATTAAGAAACTGCTGGCTGGTGCATTTGCTGGACAATTTGTCGCTTTTGACATAAAGGCCTCTCCAGGCCTCTCCAAGCATTATAGTGAGCAAAAACAAGAATTGCGATAGCAAGCAAATGTTATTGCAACAACGAACTTAGTTTGTTATAAAACACCGTCACAGTCGAATAATGATGCGCCTAGCCTGGTGAAACGATGGTGTCAAAAGGTAGACGTTACGCGACAAATACGCCAATTGGTTGTTTTCAAACGTCTGAAATCGTGGTTCATCGATGGACTCGAAGCACATTTTATGAAATCGAAGGATGACTGTCTTTTTTGTTGCCTGAGCAGCGATCCCATCGTTTGACTAACGCAAGATGCAATGGCACAAAAAGTTGGGGAACAGATCCAGCTCGGAAATGTGATTGCAGAGACAGATTACGATCTGTTTGACGACCGTCACACGCGGCCTTTGAGGTACTGGAACGATTCATATTTGTTTTGCGACCCTAGTAGGATACACCTGCGACCACGACCAGACACAGGTGGGTTTTTGGCGGGTGTCCACCAATTTGACCGGCTGTCTGGCTTGAAGCGGGCAGTAGCAAAGCACTGAGCACTCGGAGATGCCCTCCCACCATCAGAGACAAGGCGTGGCGCGCGTGCTCTACGCCAAACGAGCTATGAGCTTATAACCAGTAGACCTGTTGTCTCCCATGGCTACGTTTTACGGGAAGAGAACCATCGACCACTTCCTAACTTCCGAAGTGGATGGACTAGGATACTGGCAGGACGCCCACATCTGATAGGAGAATGACTCGGGTCCTCAGCCAAAGACTTCGATGGAAAGTACACCCGAAAGGCTGCGGGTCTAGCACATGGTTAGTTCACTAACTCATGAAGATTTGTGTCCTGGATCTTAGCAAGGAGAAGGGCGTAAACGAACTCCCACCCAGCGGTCGCCACGAGGACATGAGCAAAATGGTACAACCGTAGCAGCAGTGGGTAGACCACCAGTCAGGATCTAGCAATCACTAGCCACAGCGCACCAATGGCACTCCCGGCTTTATATATATATATATATATATATATATATATATATATATATATATATATATATATATATATATATATATATATATGGTTGGCGGAATCCGGTTTCGGATTTGCCTGTCACTGTGGTCAGCCATAGGACGACTGCCCATACACTAAGACCATGGGTGGCTTGCGCTGCACCACCCATAGCTCCAAACACACACCACATATCCAGTGTAAACCCGAAGAAATGAGACCGGGAGGCATGTGGTTGGCAGCCACGTTTCATCAATGGAGCCGGCCCACACTCCTTCACAGGCAAACACAAGCACGCTGTATTTGGGGAATCAATCGCACCCAAGGCGGTGGCTGGACCGTAGTCCGCTCCACACTGAGTGCATGGAACCGCTCTTTGAGCCTAGCACAGACACAAGAACCGTGCACTCCGCCCCCTCTAGCAACGACCAACTGTCTCCTGGAGCCAGTATGAACGATGTGGTGGGTAATAGACAGTAGGTACCTTGTCAACATGCACATCAAGCGCAGCCACACCGGGGATGTCAAACGACAGCCATTCACTTGAAACGACAAGTTGAAATAAAATAAATCGGATAATGCATGCAAATACGGAGACATAACTCTTCGCTAAATTAGCATACGAAGTAAGTTGGTTAGCAAGGAATCCTCGATAAGTACAAAATGTCTACAAGTTATTCAATAAATGCTACAAATGCTACAAAGTTACCGAAGATAAGCGCAATCAGCGTAAGCAACGTGGCCAGTTAATAGGAGATTATTCACGTAGGCAGAAAAAACCAAATAGTGGGATGAAATTTACCCAGTTTAAAATGACCTAGTTTGTGTGTGAGCTAAATTCTGAAGCCGCTAGTGGTTGAACGCCACGCATCTTTCTTTCTACCAACCAGATAAGCCAGGTTTCACAACCGTATAGTGTGATTGAACGGGTGGCAGCATTGCGCGCTCCACCCTTCAGGGAAATAGTGAGGTCGGTCTTCGCTAAATTAAGCAAAAAGACTTAGAGCTTTTCCTTTATGGTTTGGTAGTTCCTTTTGTGTTACACAACCAATGATTTGGTTGCCCAGGTAGTTCCATTGTGAACGACTTCTAATTAATCGCCACCAAGGATCAGTGTAGAGCTTGGTTCTAGTCATGCTTTGAATAAAGCTTTGCACTATGAGAATGCAAAGCAGAGCAAAAAAAGCTGGCAAGCAGCGTCAATCAGTTCAGTGCTGCCTGGTAGTTTTGTGAGCCACCACAAATTAGAGCAATATAGTAAAGATACCCAAGAAGTTGAGCATCTGGAAACAGCCCCACACCTTCCCAGACATATTCGGTGAACTCAGTTCCAGTTCAGAAGCAGTGACGGCGGGCATCACTATCGCACAATATTACGGGTAATGAATGGCGGCGACAGATTGCCGCACACTGTCAAAGCTACGCGCAAAAAGCCCTCTGATGACGTTTACATACTGTTCGGATACAACCTTTCTAATCACAGTGCCAAAAGGCACATTGATGAACCAAATGGAAGTCACTTGGATGTTGAGGAACACGACTGGTGGGTCGCCGGTAAATATGGCGGTGTTCCAACAAATGACGTAAAGTGAAAATACGATCAAAGTAGCCTCAACCTCGGTTTGTTCCACACGAAGGAAGAGTTCATTGGTGCTAGTCAGTCTACGAAGAGCGAAGGAGGCCAGCAACTTGAAGGAAATCGAAATCAGACTGATCCTTCTGTGATCGTCATGCTGAGAACGCGGACCTCCCTGTAAAATTGGGACTATAACGAAGCAGCTCCAGTCGGCTGGAACAGTATATTGATCCATCAGTTTCATTAGGAAATCGTGCAAATCCTCCACAAGATTAGGTCCCGCGAATCTGAGGGTGTCTGGAGGAAGTCCATCTGATCACAAGGCTTTAGGCATTTCAACAGTCCGGTAACAAGTTCGACTTCTGCGCGAGAGGGGTGAACGCAGATGAATAGTTCAGTCAGTTCAGTTGATCAAGTATGATCCGAGCACCGAAGGGCGGTGGATCCAGTTGCCACGACTCAGATCGCAAAAATAACGACACATAATAACGGCAAGGTAGTGAAGCTAAAGACAAATAGAGGGCAAAAAAGGAACCAAGAAGGAAGTGCGTTAAA